ATCCAAATCTATTTGTAAGGCTTTCCAAGCTTGATGTTACTTCTTCCAAAGTTTCCCAGCCTTTCTCAGCCACTTTACCCAAAATCTTTTCATTCTTATTTACCAAAAAGTTTAGTGAGTGACCCCCTTGGATACCCAATCTGAATTCTGGTCTGTCAGAAATGAAATTTAGTTGAGTTTAATTTCTCTTTAATAGAAACAGACCTCTCTATATTATCCTACAATTGTTGTTATTCCCCCGGGAAATGAGCCTCAGTTCTATGTTAGTCTCTGCTCATTCTAATCCCCGTGGGAAATGGATCTCTCTCTTTCTACCTTACAAAACTAGAACACTACCCTGAAGAACATGGTGATGAAATCTGTTGTGTCAGATAAATCATTAAAGAAAACGATAATTTATTTATTCACACTCTCCTATCTTTACCACCATTATTAAGTCTGGAATGAAATCTTTTCACTCTCCTGTTTCTCACATTGGCCTTCACATAATTTAACATTTATTTTTCCCCTTTTTTTCACTTGTACTGAGTAAGCTAATTCAGAGTAACAAGTTATTGACATTTTGGGGTGTTCTGCAACCTTTCAATATTGTATGAAAAAGTTGATATTAAGGTCAACATGTGCCATTATAATTCATAAAGGATCCACATGAAAGAACTTTCAATTTTTGCTGTCACAGTATAAAATTCCAATATTGCATGGACAGTTAGATCCACAGAATATAAATTGTGACCTTTGCGAAATCTGTTTGACAGAGTTTTGAAAAAGATCCATTGATACTGAACTTGACTGTGTATTAGACAAACCAAATTGAGTGAAATTAGCTAACCCTTTCAGTCTTTCAAGCAGAAACATGGTATCATTTTAGTTATCAGTTCTGGAGTTGTCAAAAAATCTCATCAATATTCCAGTCTTATACTGGATCCAAAATTCCATTCTTTGTCTTACTTTCATGTGGTGTATCTCTGACTTTTCCCTTCTCAAATTCTCTCTCTCCATTTCTGCTATTTCCACCACCTCCAGCATGAGGCCATGACCAAACACATCTTCCCCATCCTTCCCTTTTCACCATTCCCATTCCCTTCACAAAGCCCTGTTCAATATCTCCCAAACTAGCCCACTTCACTTCTTTTTCCCACAGCAACTTTCCATGCAAGTACTAAGGATGCATCTACTGTTCAGGGCCGCATACACTTATTATACCGAGTTCATAGCTCCCAGTGTGCTCTTCTCTATACTGGAGACCAAACATATATGGAGTCATTGCTTTGCAGAACATCTCTGGTAACTTTGCCAGTGTGACTTTGCACTCCCAGTTGCCTATCATTTTAATTTTCTGCTCCACTCTCATACTGACATCTGTCCTGAACCTCCTGCACTTTTCTAAAAGTGCTAAAGGAACAGTATCTCATCTTTCAGGTAGGCTTTCCAGAGCCACTCATTCTCAATAATGAGTTGAATAATTTCAGATCATAACCACAATTCCAATTTTTCAAGAAGACTGTTGGTGATAATAATGCCACTTTTCCACTTACAGAGAGTATCTTGGAGTTACCAGGGCTCAGGTAATTAACATGGGAAGGGTGTTTAGAGCTGGAGATCATACGGCAATAGGATAGAGGGGTCAGATGCAAGGGCAGAGGTGGTGTCATTCATCAGTATCCCTCTTCCTGATGTCCAGTGGTTCAATCAGGCATTTGTAGCCTCATATCAAATATCTTTCTAACAAGATGAGAAGTGGCCTACATCAGTTATGCATGCCAAATGGTAAGTCTGTCTGCAGCCGGGTCAGTCCTTGTGGCAGTGAAATTACATTCTTAATTGGCCACTTAAGGGCCTTAATTGATGGCATGGTAGGGAGGTTGACATGGGTGTACCCACCCAGAATTTAATTCTGTTCGAGGCAGGATGCAGCAGGGTTCAGTTACATCACCCCACTCACTTAATTGACTTTATTACCTCCAAGCTTTCCACCTCCACAAGCAGAAAATTATGCCTATTACTGTAGCTTCTCTCAATAAATGCTGTCAGACCACTACGTATTTATAACATTTTCTCTTTGTGCTCCTTCTTGCTTTAAGTGCCTAATTGCAACATAAAATAACGAGGAAAAAGAGTAGGGCATTCGGCCCTTCAATCTTGCTCTGCCATTCACTAAGGTCATGGCTAAACTGATTTTACCCTCAACTCTATATTCCTGCATATCTCAGATAATCTTTCATCCACTTGGTCATCCAGAATCTATCGACCACTGCCTTAAAAATGATTAAAGATTCTGCATCCACTGCCTTTTGAGGAAGGGGATTTCTAAGTCTCTTAACCCTCAGAGAGAAAATATGTTTCCTCATCTCTATTTTAAATAGGTGACCACTTCTTTTAAAACTATGGCCCCTATGATTCTCCTACAAAAGGAAACATCCTTTCAACATGAACCTGGTCAAGTCTTCTCAGGATCTTATATGTTTCAATTAAATTACCTCTGACTTTTCTAAACTCAAGGATACTGGACTAACCTAAGTAGCTTTTCTTCATAACACAATCAGCTTGTTCCATTCTGTTTAGAAATGAATGAGTTGAAAACTTTTTTACATCACAAATATTTTTGTGAAAGCTCAATTCTTTAACAATGGGAAAAATACAAATTGACAATCATTATACTGCCCTGGTTTGAGCTGCTGAAGAAATCACAATTGCTATTTGGTATACTAACCAGAATCAGATTGTTACACCTGGTGCTGAACTGGTCCTAAAATTATGTCATTGTTTATACTGTTTAATTAGTTTATTAAAAAAAAACTACTATTATCAGTTATAAAGTTTTCATTGTGGTAGAGCAAGTACATGGAAACATTCTACTGATGTGCCAAGTAAATCAATCTAGGCAAATAGCATGAAAAAAAAATCAACTTGCTAGCTTAAATGGTTTTCTATATGGCCCTTGAATTTAGAAGTAATGATGTGTCACAAGAAGGCCTGAATTTCACATCATTTAATTTCAGAATTATATTTCACTTAATTCAAAAGTTTGTAGATTTAAGTCACATGAAATATCTCTGGGATAGTAGGAACTGCAGATGCTGGAGAATCCGAGACAACAAGGTGTAGGGCTGGATGAACACAGCAGGCCAAGCAGCATCATAGGAGCAGAGAGGCTGACGTTTCGGGCCTAGACCCTTCATC